GTATATTCTCTCTTTTTCAATAAGAAATAAATCAACATGAAGAAGAAAAAAAACACTCGTCAGGCTATTTGATTGAGTTCTGTCTTGCAGTGTGTCTTCTGTCTTGCTGTATTTTTTTTTTTTAATTGAAAAAGCTGAATATTATATGAAAAATTTAACTAAAATTAAAATGTTGTGCTTAAAAAGCACATTAAAGCAAAGGTCAAAAACTGAAACTAAAATGAAAATATAACACTTAAAGCAAATGTAAAATATTAATAAATGTCCTAATAGTACATAAATAACACTAAAGTGACACTGATAGAGAGTTTTGAAAAGTGTAGATTTATTAATGTGCCATGTTTGGTGGGAAAAACGCCATCAACGTGACCCTGGAGCACAAAACCAGTCATAAGGGCAAATTTTTTGAAATTGAGATTTATGCATCATCTGAAAGCTGAATAATTAATCTTTCCATTGATGTATGGTTTGTTAGGATAGAACAATATTTGAAAATCTGGAATCTGAGGGTGCAAAAAAATCTAAATATTGAGAAAATCATCTTTAAAGTTGTTCAAATGAAGTTCTTAGCAATGCATATTACTAATCAAAAATTAAGTTTTTATATATTTACGGTAAGACATTTACAAAATATCTTCATGGAACATGATCTTTACTTAATATCCTAATGATTTTTGGCATAAAAGAGAAATGTATAATTTTGACCCATACAATGTATTGTTGGCTATTGCTACAAATATCCCCCAGCGACTTAACACTGCTTTTGTGCTCCAGGGACACATATTCCCAAAGGAGCAGATTTTGCTCGTACACTGAAGTCCTGTTGTTCATCCATGCCTGCTCTCCTCTTTGTCTCATCAGCTTTGCCAGCATCATGCGGGGAACCTTAAGAGACCTGGCCCCCGACTGTGAGGTTACTCTCGTCCAATCAGAAGATGGCAGCGGAAAAGGTGCCGCCCTCATCACGGCCGTGGCTTGTCGATTAAGAGACGCTAGAAAATAGAAACTGAACAAAATAATGTAAAGGGGAAAAGATAACGAGGGAGAAATTACACACCGAGCTTCCACAGATGTGACCTTACTGAAGCAACACTCCTGTCTGTAAAACAATGTATCTTATTTATTTTTCTTGCATTTTGTGCTTTAGGTCATGCATTGCAAGGACTTGGCATATGCTGATGGGGGGGTTGTTTGTAGAAAAGGGGAAAACAATTCATAACTATTATGTGTATTGTTACTGATTTGAATTACTGTACTGTCTGAGGAAAAGCACAAAGAGATTTTATTGACCTGTTGAGCTGTGAATTATGTAATTTATTTCTGTCCATGCATATTTCCAGGCTGCAGATTAAAGGATTCTTCTGTTCATTTACTCACCGTCAAGTGCACTCTTAAAAATAAAGGTGCTTCACAGCGATGCCACAGAAGAACCATTTGTGACCCTGGAGCACAAAACCAGTCATAAGGGTCAATATTTCGAAATTGAGATTTATACATCATCTGAAAGCTGAATAAATAAGCTCTCCATTGATGTATGGTTTGTTAGGATAGGAGGACAATATTTGAAAATCTGGAATCTGAGGGTGCAAAAAAATCTAAATATTGAAAAAATCATCTTTAAAGTTGTTCAAATGAAGTTCTTAGCAATGCATATTGCTAATCTAACATTAAGTTTTGATATATTTACGGTAGGAGATTTACTAAATATCTTCATGGAACATGATCTTTACTTAATATCCTAATGATTTTTGGCATAAAAGAGAAATGTATAATTGTGACCCATACAATGTATTGTTGGCTATTGCTACAAATATCCCCCAGCGACTCAACACTGCTTTTGTGCTGCAGGGACACATATTTGGTTCCACAAAGAACCAGCTCTTTCTTACCTTTTTATAATCTGAAGAAACATCTTTCGCCACAAAGAAGCTTTTGTGAAACCGAAACGTTCTTTATGGAATCATTTAGACAAAAAAAGGTTCTTCTATGGCATCGTGAAGCACCTTTATTTTTAAGAGTGTAGGTGAGTAAACATATGTTTTATTTTGTGCTGAACTCTTCCTTTTAAAGGACTAGTTCACACAAAAATGAAGAAACAAACTCATCTAGGGGAAACTGGAGGCGGCCCATTCAAACCAGCGCAGATTCGGCTACACAAGAAGCTTAGAATATCATCTTGTTGTGATGTTGGGTGCCAGAATCGACGTAATACAGCCTCAAATTAGAATTTGATCACATATCTGCTGCCACTGCCAGACAAAAAAACGACGACAGCTGTGGTTAAATGCGATAAAACGAGCAGACTGGACAGAAACGATCGTCAAAAATTCTCGCATTCGCAGCGCACACTTCTTATCAGAAAAGGTTCAATAACGTATTGTCTTTTGTTGTTATGGGTGCGTCTACAGATTTCTTGCCATATGTCTATGTTTCTTGCATCTCACGACTATGTCGTGTATGAAATAATGTCTGTGTGCATGTGTGTAAAACAACAAACTGA